AAAGTAATGTTTTTGCCTTGTCGAATCAGCTGATCGATCAGATTGTCCTCGTCGATAGCGGAACCGGCAAAATTCGCGCCTGCGTCGACGAATGTCGGCAAGCTGCCGGTGGTGAGCGCCTTTAACCGTTGAAGCGTTGTGGTCGGTGGGTCGGCGACGAACCGTAACAGAAGACTATTGCGTGACTGGTTAGCCAAGAGTGACCGCACGTTCACAAAGTTGTTGTGGTAGACGCGTGTCGACGCCGGCTGGGCTGCGACAAAGTCGTAACGAAGCGCGTCGACCACCAAAAGAATGGCACGGTCGAAACGAGCCTTGCCCCAGCAGCTGGACGCGTTCGTCGACTGCCCATAAATCTCGTCACATGTGCTATTCAACGTAAGCGTGTGACGCGTCAACAAGAAGCCACGGTAAAAGAAATACACGCCGAACGCATATCCGAATACAACGGTCAGCAGCCGCGCAAACATCACCGATCACTCATCAATTTACCGACACCAGTTCGAAGATTCGGCTGACCAGTGTACCAAGGTAGTCACTACCCTAAAAACAAAGCGTTAATGTCGAATGGACGGAAATCACGAACCTTCGATGAGCTCCCTTAGTCTGCGCGTGGCTAAGCACCACAAATACACGCGCTAACGAGCGCATCATATGATTTCGTTCCTTAAAAATTCACAATTTCAAACGAACATGCGATTAACTTCAAGTTCAATAAATGAATCTGTACACCTTTTATTAATGAATGAGATATCCGTAACAATATATTTACTGTTCATCCGGAACTAAGAACAGCGGATAAAATAAATACAGCCGAAGTGAACTATAACGGAACATTTGCCAAAAGACACTGAGTGCTATTCACCAAACTAAAAACACAGCCAACGTCGTGAATATTAAACAATATCAATAGCAAGTCAGGAAAAGTAAGGCGAAGTGCATTCTATCAAATTATCTTAGAACTACTGGATGTCGATCCTAAATAACGGAACGGCCGGAAAATGACGCAACGGCAACCAAGAATGGTCAAGATGCTCGTGCCTTGAACGTAAGTTTGTTACAATAAACGATATTCTAACAAAAAATCAGAAGGAAGGGCTACACTTCACAAACGATATTGTTTCACCAAGTGATCATAACGAAGTATCAAAAGGCCTACCCTTCAGCAGTAAATAACAACGTTCAGTTCAACCAATAGATTAAAAACAGCTAAGCTTAACTGAATTGCTAAAAAATTATCAGTTATACAAAGTAACAACTTCACGGTCTGTGCGACGAAAGATATTAACAGTCCAATACTATGGATCTCTTACTGCGTCCCGAACATCATAATACCAAATGAAACACCTCCACGCAATCCATAATACTTAGGCGTTATCCTATTGCAAATGGCCAAGAATTGCTAGCAAACAGAATGTCGAATCTGGCCACGAGGCATAACTTGCAACCACGCCGAACATACACAAGCAGTACACAAGCTTCCCGGTACCAGGTACACTTGTGCACTCTTCGATGCTCGAAGAAGTTGATAGAGTCCGTTGTTTGCACAAAACCACAACAGCATTATGTAATTACTGCTGCGGTCGCTAGGACTGTTTTACCCAATCACGCTGTTTCGCATTTCAGCGCCTACTCTGACATGCCATTTAAATCGTCCAAGAGTATGAGGGACTCTGTGATCGGCACTTCGTACGGAACACGCTGCACTTCCTCAAGGAAAGAATCATATTCCCCCTAAACTAAGTGTATTGACGTTTAACAAGGTGTACGCTTCAGCCTGTTGTAGGTTAAGTCGAAGGATCACCATCCTTCCACTGACAGGCTTCCAATCAATAATTCTGTTAGCAAGGTTGGGTTCTACCACAACACCAACACTGGCCTGAGCGCGTCGTGATTTCGACATCTGAAAAAAATAGCTTCCACCCGCAGAGGTTCAGGATTCCAGAGCCCTGGCGCTTCGTTGACGAGAGTCCAACTGTGTCGAGTTGGTACCTTATGGACTCATCAACTAACTCCTGTTCTTTGCATCTCAGTGAGAATATATTCCAATTTACAATTGTAAGCCCACTGGCGGTGTCGTTCACGTGGAGCCTTTTCTAACGTGCCATAATGGCATTGCGCTGTCTACCTCCTCGGTTCAGAACAGGTAGCGACTCCATTGCTGACTAATATCTTCGTCGTTCCGTCGTCCTTCGTTAGCCGGTTGTTGTTCTGCTACGCCCCGGCTGACAGGGCGATTAGCAAGTTCAGATCGTCGACTTTTCGCAGTCTACCGCAGTCCCTCCTACGGCCTGTGCGGTCCTTGGTAACCCGGGCGAGGACTAAGCCGGCACAATTTTCGATGACGTGAATACCATAAAAAGCAGGTGGTGAAATTTTACGGAGACTGCGCCACTGTCTCCAACCGTCATCCTTTCTCAAACGTTCTTGGGACCGGCAACGGTGGAGTTTTCATCTAGTATACAAATATTAATTAAACTGTTATTACGCGTTATCTCTCCTAATTTCATGAAATACAGTGAGAGCACACATATTATAATCCAACCTTGACAGTGAGACCATCAGGGTGTTCACAAATCTGTCATATCCTGAATAAATTTTCATTCTTCATAGGATCACCAAGCAATGCTAATGATTCCAGTTAAGTTGTCTCACCAGTTTCTCCGACTTTAAGGCTGCAGCGAAGAACTGCGTCCAACGAAGAGACGAACCATTAACTGTTTTGGTGTACCTGAACATATCGTTTTCATTTTTGAAGAGATGCATGCAAGAACCACTATGCTGTCTGAAAGTCGAAGGAGAGCTATCTGAGTGGTTTCCTTGTTAAATGTGAAGTTAGCCAGGGAGATATGCTTTCAGCTTTGTTATTCAACATTGTTTTGAACTTTATTCTCCTAGAGGTGAACCTGGGAAAGACGAAGGTTCAAATCTAGAGAGAAGACGAGCTCTGTCATCTAAGGGCTTCCGCATGCAAAGCAGCTGCGAAAGTCGGCCTCTACCTTAACGCCTGGAAGTCCAAAGTCATGACCCATGAGACAGCACTGATCTACTAGTGGAACAGAGAGAGAAAGTAAGCTAAAGAGAAAGTTCACCAGATTAAGTATCTCGGTTGAGTCATCTCCAGGTATAGCACAATCTTATCAGAATTAAATACGAGGATCGCCTGAATTAAATCAACGTTCTTGGCAACCTGTCAAATATTTGAGCTGAGAAAGGGGTATCCCCTTTCACAATTACTGAGTGCACCTTGCCTCGGTCAAGTCAGTGTTGTAGTGGGGCAAGAAAGCAGTTGTTCTAACAAAGGAGCATGAACGACGATTGAACTTCGTAGAGCAGCGATAGAGTCGACGCATAATGAAGGTTAAATGGCAGGACCACGTACGAAATGATTCATATTCTTCGAGGCAGAAGTGACCTCAGCAGAAGTGGAAGTTAAGAAATGAGGTTAGCCCTGTTACACAAGGTGATTGAGCAGACACTGTATATTCCAGCCTGGGGGCTTCTCGTGTGGGGGCCAAACAAAAACACGGCCGAAGTCGACCAGCAGGCTAGCGCGCAACCCGGAAAACTAGTACAGGCAAATCTGTTTTCAGAGAGGAATATTTTTTTCAACGATGCAGTGAAAAGTGCCTCATAGCAAGTGTTGTAAGACTGCCAACACAGTGGGCATCAG